GCAGGGAGCCCGATGTGGGGCTCGATCCCAGGACCCCGGGATCATGACCTGAGCCGAAGGCAGATGCTTAACTGACTGAGCCACCCAGGCGCCCCTGGAAATGTATTTCTTAATGAATGGATGGGCTGCTTTTTTCCCCCAGGTAGTTCATATGTTCATAGTTGAATATAGTTTGTTGCTGGAACGAGAGTGCATTCAGTGTCAATTCCAGACCCATGTTTTCATTTACACTACATTTTCATCTACTTATTGTAGATGGGAATTGAGAATCTTGATATAGCAGTGGCATCTAAATCTCAGTTGTTTACCAAAAAAAAAAAAAATCACAAAGATCTACTATGAAAAGATATTGTTGATTATTTTTCAGCTGACAATGCAATTAAATCCTTCTAGGTTTTGAAAGCAAAGATTTAGAAACCTCCTGACTTGAAAACAAAAAGAATTTATTGTCCAGCTTTTAAGCCATTCATTTTCTCAGCACCCACAGCCAGCACCAGAATTGCAAATTGCTGCTTTGTTTAGTGTTCCAGGGCATTCCCCCCTCCCCCCCAGCCAGTCCACCACTGAAAGATAGTGGGTGAGGGAGTGGTGAACCTTGTTACAGAAAGTAGGGAAGGCGATAATGAAAGAGGGCAGCAGTTTTGGGCGCCTCGGTGGCATAGTCGGTTAAGCGTCCAACTCTTGGTTTCGGCTCGGGTCATGATCTCGGGATCATGGGATTGAGCCCCGCATTGGGTTCCTCACTCAGTGCGGAGTCTGCTTGAGATTCTCTCTCCCTCTCCCTCTGCCCCTCCCGCTCTCTCTTTCTCTCTCTCTAAAATAAATAAATCTTAAAAAAAAAAAAGAGGATAACAGTTTTGGTAAAGAGCACACTTGGAAGTTGAGGATCTACAAATTGATTTTCTTAAAACTCCTTGTACCCTAGAGATATCCTACCTCCAATCAGAGGACCATTGACTTTCCCACCAGAGGAGGGATTCCCCCATCCAGAATCCAGATTTCTTGTGCTCATAGATGTATTATGCTTCTTTCTACTTAATGTTGTTTCCATGTTCTCCTACTCTCCTTTGTTATGAAAAATTTTAAGGACCATTGTGAATCCCAGCTCCTACCTAATGCTTCCGTCCCTTTCTTCCGAATTCCTACTGCCCTTAGAGTTTGAACCTCACTTCCCATCCCACAATATGCATTGTGTTATACTGGTAGTTTTGTTTCATGACACTTTAAATAGAATGTAATAAAGTTCCTTGCAATAGGGCTTGGTATCCTTGCAAAAGAAATGAACTTTGATATCAGCTAGCACATAAGCTGCAGGAGGGCAAGGACACCATCTGTTTTGTTCTGTGCCATGTAGCCAGCACCCAGCCCAATACCTGGCATATAAGAGCTTAATAAATAATTCATTGAATAAATGAATGGACTTGAGTTTGAATCTTAGCTCCTTCATCACTTTTAAGCTGCGTGACACCCAGTCATTCCTTTCAGAACTGAATCATTCAACAAGCACCTGTTGCATGCCTGCTAAGAGCCAAGCATTGTGCTGGGCACTGGGGATGTAAATTGAAGATATGTCTGTACCCTCAAGGAACTCATGCATCTGGTTATGGAGGCTGTTACATGAAGTGAGGTGGGAAGGACAGCCAGTGTGCAGACCCAGCGGAAGGAAAAGGAGGGGAGCCGTTAGCAGATCTATAAAGCAGAGGCATAGGAGGCTCTCCTGGGCTAGGGTGTCACAGGTCTCATGTGCCACATGTGGGAACGTGAACTTGACCTGACCGATTAGATATGGGGCAAGATGGAGAAGGAGTCGAAGGTGAGCACACAGGAGGAGGGTATGAAGGCCTTAGCCGTGGCAGTGGCCATAGCCATAGAGAGGGAGGGGTAACTATGAGAGAGTGAAGGAGGATCTACTGGATTTCATGATGGGCTGTGTACCACGAGGGGGATGGGGGGGAGGAGCACCCTAGATTCTCAGAGCTCTGTCTTAGGTGACATGGTCAGTGAGTCAAATAAAATGGGAAAAGAATTGAGTTTGAAAGCCTTTGGGCAAGTTACCTGACCTCGCTGGGCCTCAGTTTCTCCACATGTAACATGAGAATAATAATATCCACCTCTCAGGGTTGCCACGAGAATGAAATAACCAGGGAAACTGCAGGGCATAGACTAGATGTTCAGTAACCACTTCTGGGTGATACTAATAATAGTGCTTGCTTGTGGGCCAAACACTTAATCCTGACAACAACTCTATAAGGCAGGTACTATTCGTATCCCTGTTTTACCAACATGGGAGCTGAAGCACAAGCCGGTGAGCAGACTTGACCAAAGTCACCCAGTTAGTAAGTGGCAGAGTGTACTTGCCTCGCCCCTGCACTCACTCCACTTTACTCTTTCTGGGACCTAGAACTGGTCTTGAGGCAGGAAGAGCGAACATGGCAGGAGAGATGGACGGCAGACCTGATCAAGGGTTCATTCCAAGAGCAGTTTTTATTTGGAAATGCGCCTCCACCACCTGGTGGCAGTCTGAGGGCACACGCCGTTGGCTTGCTTGTTTGCTCTCTTTTCCAGCCCAGGGCACAGGGTCCTTGGGGTTAAGGCACAAGATCAAGTTCTCAAGAATCAACATCCCAGACAGCCTCCATGGTCAGGGGCCTGGGGCTGGTGCCAAAAATGAACTAGGCTCCATTCTGGACTGTGTCATGGCTGGAGGGCCGAGGGGGCTCCTGGCACCAGGACCTCAGCTCCCTCTTCTGTGAGGGCTGGCATCACCCACAGGCCAGCTGTGGCCAGGTTCTGGTGGGTATGAGGTTGGGGGGCGGGAGGGGATAGCAGAGGCTAATTTTCTGGTGCTGGGTCCAGTTTATCTTCCTGAGGGGGAGAAGCTGAGATGGGAGCTTCGTCCCCACCATTGAGGGACTTCTGCTCGTTGCTGCTGGGCGAGGGGGTCCGGTTGCCCTGGGATCCCCAGCGGGTCAGGCGCTTTAGGGAGGAGTCGCGGCGGGCAAGTAGATGCGGCTGGAAGCCTGTGAAGGAGCTGCTGGTGGTGGGACGCTTATCTGGCAGAGAAAAGGCAACTCCAAGTAAGGAGAAAGGTGCATGCGCAGGGGAGAGGTTGAGGGGCCTTGCCTCAGCCGGTGGGGGAGAGGAGAACCTCCTGACTTTCAATCCCACACGGCCTCTCTAGATCTGAAAGGATCACTTTCTCCCTCCTTTCCCCCACCCCACTCCAGAAAAAGCTCCAGGGTCTACTCCTTCTCACCTCCAGGCTCAATTGGATGCATGAGCCGGTTCATCTGAACATTCCAGTGTTTCACGTTGGTGCTGGCCTGGCGCAACTTCTGCTGGGCAGCCTGTGGGGGCAGGGCCAGCGGAGAGCGGATCAGAGACACCATCCTAGACAGGGTATCTTGACCTTTTCAAGTTTGTAGGCCTCTTAGAATCTGAACTCTCCCCAGAAAAACTCATATATGTTCTTAAAGAGTTATATAGATGAACAGTTAGCTTCCAATTTCAGGGGTCTCATGGACCCCCACAGGGTCAAAAATAGTCATCATTATAGTTTCCATTCATTAAGCAGCTAAGATGTACTAAGTATATTTATTATTTTAGTTAATCTCCAGAGCATAAGTTAACAACAAAGTGCAAAAGAAGTTAAGTGATGGGGTGCCTGGGAGGCTTAGTCGGTTAGGCATCTGACTTCAGCTGGGGTCATGACCCCAAGGGTCCTGGGATCGAGCCCCTCGTCAGGCTCTCTGCTCAGGGGGGAGCCTGCTTCTCCCTCTCCCTCTGCCTGCAGCTCCCCCTGCTTGTGCTCTCTCTCTCCCTCTCTCTCTCTGTGTCAAAGAAATAAAATTAAAAAAAAAAAAAAAAAAGAAGTGACTTGCCCAGAGACCTATGTTGAGCTGTAAACCACCGCACCACACCACCTCTCCAGGACCAAATGCAAAACCTCTACTCCACTGTCCCCCCGGTCATTAGCAGTGGTTGTGGGTAAGGGAATCACAGAGGAACTTTCCCTTTCTATGTTACATGTTTCTGTGTCTGGATTTTTTACAATGACCATGTCAGCCAACAAAGCAAAATAAAATAATCAATATTAATAGAATATCAAAAATTAGGGGCTCCTGGGTGGCTCAGTTGGTTAAGCGTTTGCCTTTGGCTCAGGTCATGATCCCAGGATCCCAGGATCGAGCCCCACATCTGGTTCCCCGCTCAGCCAGGAGTCTGCTTCTCCCTCTTCCTCTCCCTCTGCATTCTCCTTCTCTCTCTCTCTCTCAAATAAATAAATAAAATCTTTAAAAAAAAAAGAACATCAAAAATTAAAAACAACAACAACAACAACAACAACAACAAAAACCCTCTTCTATGGAAATCAGAGCCAAAGTACAGGGAGAGCAAGGTAGGCGCTTGGAAGAATATGAGAAAAAATCTTTGCCCAGATTCATAATGATAAAAATAGCAGCTAATGTTTCTTCCCCACTTGCTACATACTAAATGTCAGCCATCAGCTCCTTTAGTCTTCAGACCATGCTATTTGAGGCCCCTTTCCCTGATGAGGGATTTGAAACTCAGAGAGGTTAGGCAATTTGCCTGAGGTCACACAGCGGGGAGACGGAAGAGTTAGGGTCTGAGGGAAGGCTCCAGATCCTGCGCGTGAAGGCGCTCACCCCGCCGGCCTCCTTCCTATCCCCCCACCCTCACCCCCCGGCCTCACCTCTACGTCCTCGTCGGCCCTCTGCCGGTTCTGCCGCACCTCCTCCAGCTGCAGCTGGGCTTGGTGCAGGGAGCGGCTCTGCAGCGCCATCTCCTGCTGCAGCTCTTGCTTCTCCTGCTGCGCCCGCTCGATGTAGCGCTCCTGCTCCTCCTTCAGCTGCAGCAGCTGCTTCAGCTTCTCCTCCTCCTCCTGTAGCAGTCTGCGGGCGGGCGGGCGGGCGGGCGCTGCGTCGTCTCCAGAGCCAAGGCACCTCGCAGGCGCTCAGCAAGTGGGACGCCGGGGAGTCAGGGGAGGGGAACGAGAAGGGGTCCTACCGGGTCTGGGCTAGGCGCACGGCCTCCTCGTCACGCCGAGCTTTCACCTCCAGGTGCAGGGCCTCCTCGAGCCTCTGCTGCATCTCCTCCAGCTCTTGGATCCGCTGCCGCTGCCGGGCAGCCTCCTCCTTCTTCAGTTCCATCTCAGCCTGCATGGAGGCCCGGGCCTGTGCCGGGACGCAGAGCCACGTCACTGGGGGCACCGCGTGGGGTAGGGGAGGCTGCAAGTACGTTGCCCTTTCCCCAGGGCTCCGCTAGGCCGGCCCACATAGCTCTCTCTCAGTGACGGTCTGGGGAGTTCCTTCACGTCGGGATTCCTTCCTGATCTGATCTCTTTGTGGGAGCCTGGCTAGGTCAGATAATGGTCAGTGAAGAGATGCTACGGGGGGGGGGGGCTCAAGTCACGCCCTGCCTAGCACCAGCCTTAATAACTATTATTCTGTGTTATAATATTAGGTGTTATGACTGTAATTAGGGCCAGTGCTAGGCAGGGAGTGACTATAATTATAGTAATTGTTATAACAACTAAAGGTGTTTCCTCATTTGATCCTCATCATACCTCTAGGAGCAGTTAGCATCAACACGTCACTGATAAGTGATTGGGGCACAGAGAGGCTAAGTAACTTGCCTGAGATCACAAGTCTCCTAAGAGGCAGAGCTGGGATGGAATCCAGGTGTCTAACTCCAGCTCTAGATCTCTTAAAGCCTAAATCTGATTGCCTCTACATGCCTAGTCCGCCTCCACATTCGTAAATCCCTCCTTCCTCCCATCCTGCATTCCCCAAACTGGTTTCACTGTAAACTTAGATCAAGTCTAGTCCAATCTAGTCTAGCGTTGGTCCAAACTTATCCCTGACTAGGGGGTCTTTAGCAGCATCTCAGTCCAAGCCCCGCCCCCAGCCAAGGTCTCCAAACCAGGCCCCACTCTACACCTATAGCACTCAGCTCCGGCCCCACCCCATTCTTTCATCTCAAGCCATCCTTCGGCCAGGTTCCTGCACCCCCGCGCCTTCCTCATCCCGCCCCTGGCACAGGTTCGGTCCCGTACGCATGTTTCCAGCGCAGGGACTCTGTCTCAAGTACCTCATTGCAAGCCCCGCCTCCACGCACCTCCTTCCCAGCCCGCGGGCTCCGCCCTCGGTCCCGGCCCCGCCCCCGGCCCTCCAATCCCGTACTCGGTCTCTCCGCATCCTTCTACCCGCCGGCCCTCGCCGGGTGCGGGCCCCACCTGCTCCGCCTCGCGCAGTTGGCCCTCCAGCGCCTGCTGCAGCTCGCGGTGCTGGCTGCGGCGTCGCTCCTCCTCCTCCTGCAGCAGGTGCTCGGCCTGCCGCTGCGCCTCCTGTAGCAGCTCCAGCTCCTGCAGCTTCCGCTCCTTCTCCTCCTGCAGCTGCTGCAGGCGCAGCAGCTCTTCCTCCTTGGCCGCCCGGCGTCGCTCCCGCTGCTCCCGCTGCTCGCGCCGCTTCTGCTTCAGGTCCTTGTGCAACGACATCTTCCCCTCGGCCTGCAGCCGGATCGCTGTCTGGATGGCTGCGGAGGGACAGGGACCGGGTCGGCAGGGGGCTAGGCGGGAGCAGCGGGGTCCTCGAGGTGGCCCACCTCCAGAAAGGGGCCTGAGAGGTGGCTCGAGGCAGTCTCCAGCCTCTCGCTGGGCCGTGTTGTCACCCCCTTTTCACTCGGCAGTGTTGTCACCCCCTGAGGCGCAGCCAGACCCAGGCCGCCCAGCGAGCACTCACTCACCCGCGGTCCATTCCTGGCGCTGGCGCGTGTCGGAGGCGCTCATCTCGTACGTGCGGGATGCTGTCTTCACACAGAACATGCAGCGCTTCCCCTCTCGGTCGGGCAGCACCTGGGAGAGGGCCGGTGGCCCCACACGGGCTGGCTTCACTGGCGCCGGGGCCACACCCGCCGCCGGGGTGCTCCAGCTCCATCCCCTACCCCCCCTTGCTGACCGTCCTCCCGGACCACCGCTCCCACCCTGCCAGGGGCCTGTATGGCCCGGCGTGGAGGTTAGTTATGGGTGCGATTGTGTCCCCACAAGTCTTGTAGCCTCTGCTCTTTGGAGGTAGGGCGGGGATGTTTTCATCTTGGTGTCTCTCCATGGGGCCTGGCACCTAATCCGTTACTGAGTGTGGATGCAGATCATTCGTGAACACCGCCAGTGACAGGGTCCTCACTATCCAAATCATTCATTTTCACAGAGCCCTGCCTGTTGGGAAAGTTCTCCATTCATTCATTCCACAGATCTTTTGGAGTGTCTACTGAGTGCGGCTCATTGTTCTAGGCATTTAGGATACTGAAGTGTGCCTAACAGACCAAATCCCTGCCTTCCCTAAGCTTATATTTTAGTGGAAAATAACAGTTACCACGTATTAAGCTTCTTCTTCTTCTTCTTCTTCTTTTTTAAAGATTTTATTTTTAAGCAATCTCTACACCCAACATGGGACTCAAAAACTCACACACGCTCCATCAACTGAGCCAGCTGGGGACTCCCATGTGTTGAACTTCTTACACTCTAGAGGCTGAACTAGTGTTTTATATGCATCATTTTATTCATAACCCCGAGACAACCTTGCCAAACGCATTATTAGCTCCACTTTACAGAAAAAGAAACTGAGGCTCTACTAGGTCCAGGAACATGCCAAATTCATGCTGCCTATTAGTGGTGGAGCTGGGCTTTCTGCCTAAGATCCCTGCTCTGTCCTCAGTGACACCTGTTTCCTTATGTGACAAAAATGGAGAAAACCTAGGATGGCTATAATAAAAATTTTTTTAAAGATTTTATTTATTTGTGAGAGAGAGAGAGAGAACGAGTGGGGGGAGGGGCAGAGGGAGAAGCAGACTCCCTGCTGAGCAAGGAGCCCGACTCAGGACTCCATCCCAGGCCCCTGGGATCACGACCTGAGCCGAAGGCAGATGCTTAACCGACTGAGCCACCCAGGTGCCCTATAATAATAATTTTTAAAAATGTAAAATAACACATGCTGATGAGGATATGGAGAAAGTGGAACTCTCATACACTGGTGGTGAGAATGTGAGATGGTACAGCTGCTACGGAAAACAATTTGGCTGTTCCTTAAAAAGTTAAACATAGGGCGCCTGGGTGGCTCAGTTGGTTAAGTGACTGCCTTCGGCTCAGGTCATGATCCTGGAGTCCCGGGATCGAGTCCCACATCAGGCTCCCTGCTCAGCAGGGAGTCTGCTTCTCCCTCTGACCCTCTTCCCTCTCATGCTCTCTATCTCTCATTCTCTCTCTCTCAAATAAATAAATAAAATCTTTAAAAAAAAAAAGTTAAACATAGAATATGGTAATTACCATATGATCTAGCAATTCTACTCAGTATGTACCCAGAGAAATGAAAACATATGCTCATCCAGAAACTTCTGCATGGATGGCCAAACCAGCATTATTCACAATAGCAAAAAGATGGGAACAACCCATTGTCCAGCAATGAATGAGGATAAACAGAATGTGGTCTATGTACACGATGGAATACTATTCAGCCATAAAAAGGAATGAATTCCTGACCCATGCCACAACATGGATGAACCTTGGAACATTGTGCTGAAGAAAAGCCAGTCACAAAGGGACAAAATATTAGATGATCCCATTCCATTCTAGGTACCCAGAATAGGCAAATTCGTGGAGACAGAAAATAGAATAGAGGATACCAGGTGCTAGGGAGAAAGGAGGGATGAGTTATTTCTTAATAGGTAGAGAGTTTTTCTTTGCGATGATGAAAAAGTTTTAGAAATAGATAGTGGTCACTCCCCCTGCTTGTGTTCCCTCTCTCGCTATGTCATTCTCTCTCAAATAAATAAATAAATAAAATCTTTTAAAAAAAAAGGGGGGTGGCGCCTGGGTGGCTCAGTCATTAAGCGTCTGCCTTCGGCTCAGGTCATGATCGCAGGGTCCTGGGATCAAGCCCCGCATCGGGCTCCCTGCTCTGCGGGAAGCCTGCTTCTCCCTCTCCCGCTCCCCCTGCTTGTGTTCCCTCTCTCGCTGTCTCTCTCTGTGTCAAATAAATAAATAAATAAATAAATCTTTAAAAAAAAGGGGGGGATAGCGGTGAGGGCTACACAACATTGTGAGTGTACTTAATGCTATGAACTGTACAATTAAAATGGTTAAAATGGCAAATTTCATGTTAGGGGTGTGTGTGTGTATTTTTTTCAAACTACAGTTTAAAATAATTGTTTTAAGCCTCCTAAAATAAAAACAGAGCTGAGGGGAAAATGGGGGGGAAGGACGGGAGGAGAGGGATGTGGCGAAAAAGTAGGGACAGAGAGAGTTGCCAAAGAGAATGGAATTTGGGTGAAGGAGAAAAACTTTTCAAGAGGATTTTTAGAAAGTTCACTGTGGGGGTACCTAGTTGGCTCAGTCGGTTAAGTCTCCGACTCTTGATTTTGGTTCAGGCCATGATGTCAGCGTCATGAGATGGAGCCCTGCAGTGGGCGCCTCGCTGAGCGTGGATCCTGCTTAAGACTCTCTCTCGGGGCACCTGGGTGGCTCAGTCAGTTAACCAGCTGACTCTTGATTTCAGCTCAGGTCATGATCTCGGGGTGCTGGGATGGATTCTCCTTCTCGCTCTGCCCCTCCCCTACCCCGTGCTCTCTCTCTCTCTCAAGTAAGTAAATAAATATTTTTTAATAAAAGGATTCTCTCTCTCTCTCTGCCTCTCCCCTGCACCCCTCGCCCACCCACTCTCTTCCTCTCTCTAAAAAAAAAAGCTTTGCGTGTAGTGTGAGGCATAAGCCATCCCCTCTAAAATCCTTAGCAAAATCCACATTACTCACCAATGGCTTTAGTATTTGATTTGCGGTTTGGGGTTTTGTTTTTTTTAAGTGCTGGCATGGATGAGAATGGCCTTGAGGCACCCAAGTATATTTGGGTTATGGTCATCTCAGCAGACATTTGCCACTGTGGCTTTTCTCCATTCACCCTCCTCCCGAGCTTCTTGCCTTTACCCCACACTGGAGAGCCTCTGGGCCCTGAGTTGTGCTCCACCCCTTCGCCTGTCCCCCTCACCTCCACGCAGCACTGTGCATCCAGCGGGATAGTACCCCTTTTCTCCTTGCACTCTTCACTCCCAAAATAGCAGAGGGAGCTGGGCTGCAGCTGGAACCAGCGTTCTGCCCAGTTCCTCCGCAGGTGCCCTCGCTTCCACAGGTAGCCCTGCCATAGCCAGAGCAAAGTCAGAGGCTTCCCTGCACCCCCCCCCCCCCCCCCTGCCTTGGGGTCCTCCCCAAGCTCCCAGCTTGGCCTGACCTGCTTCAGGACATCTTGGATGAGCTCCTGGTAGACTTCGTGGATGGCCATGCTGAGAGTGTCCCGCCCCACACCTCGAAGACAGCGCCCCGTGTTGAAGAGCTCCAGGAACTGCCAGACGCTGAGCCCTCCGGTGGTCTGGGCTGCCTGGGCTTCGTGGGCCAGCAGCTCTTCCAGCTCACCCAAGCCCACCTCCAAGCTCATGCTGCTGAGCACCTTCTTCAGCAGGTATTCCACCTGGAGGAGGGGGGAGGCCTGGGGACTGCAGCAGGCAGTGTTGCCTGTGATGATGCGGGGGTTGGGGGGGCCCCTCTGGCTCCGAGAGCCTGGGCAGAGGTGACCAGGGACAGGGGGTAGGGGAGCCAGATGACTAAATGTTGGTGGAAACCAGGGTAGATTTGGGGGGCGGGGTCCTGGAGGCCCAACCCCAATTTGGGCATCCCCTTCCCTCCCCAACTTCCAGGCCCACGTCCCACTCCTCCATGCTTTAAATTAAGGGCAGGGTGAAGGTTGAGGGCTGGGGGCCAGGCAGAGGCAGCAAATCACAGAACATGTCAGAGGGGGTGCAAGGGCCCTCTCATCCAATACCCTTACTTTGCCGATGACCAAACTGAGGCCCAGAGAGGGAAGTGACTCGTTCTAAATCACACAGCAAGTTGGTGGCAGCCAGAACTCGATTCATATCTCCTGAATCCCATCTGAGTCCTTATTCCAAGCCCAAGCCCCAACCCCGAGGATCCTTCCCCTATGGGAGGGCAAAGGGATTGGGGGTGGAGGTAAGCAGGGCAGGGACAGGAAACCTGCTACAGAGGAACAGGAAGTGGTGGTTGGGGTACATCCTGCTGCAGTTTGTTCATACAACATGTTGATCACGGCCGCGAGCAGCCTTCTGGCCTATGAGGGGCCCCCTTACCCTGACAGGCGGGGGTCTGATGAGGGTGCCTAGCCAGGTGCCCGTGCAGATGGACACACATCCCTTTCCTGCCCCAGCAGCTTCTTGGGACACTCTCTTTAGGACTTTCACTCTGGAGGTTACCGGGTCTCCAACTGGGAGTGGGGTGGGTGTGCCAGTTCAGGGATTAGGCATCTCCCCTCACCCTTCCCACAAACAGAGTCAAGGAGATAAAGCTGAGCGCGGTTAGATGTGTCAGGACTTCTTGTAAACACAGAGGACCCCCCTCCCCTCCACACCCTAAGACCTAAATTCACCCTGGCATCTTCACAGCCACCAAAAGGGCTAACAGGTCAGGAGAAGGCTGAATGGATGGGGGAGAGAAGTGGAAGTGGGGGCGGGGGGGGCACCTGCCCTGGCTTCGTCCATGAGTTGAAGAAGTAGGGGCACAGACCCCAGGCCTCTACTCCCAGGATGCTCCAGAGAGGGCTCTGGAGCCCGGAGCTGGGTCTGCCACGGCTCTCCTCCATATTATAGAAGACAGGGAGGGAAAATCTAGAACCGGGGCCAGATCTAGTTGCCTCCGCTGGAATAATGGGCCAGGCATCCCAGGAAAGTCTCCCTTCCCCTCATCTGGTAACCTTCTCAGATTGCCACAGTGCCTGAAGTCCTGCCATTCGATCTTAAATGTTTTCATTTTTAAATGCCCGGTAAGGTCTCAGGCTACACTGCTGTGTAAATAGAATCTGCGGTCATTTTCCTCCTTTGAGGGCCAAGAGAGCCCTGAAGGAAGTGTAGTTTTGGTTCTCTGGGGCACAATGACTCTGATACAGGCAATTCTAGGCATCTGGAGACAGCTGGGTGCAGAGAGGCACCAGCGTGGGGAGACCAAGAGGTGCGGGGATGTGGGAAAGTTACAGAGGCGATTTGGCCTCCTTCATGGTTTTGTTGAGGCCTGGCCCCAGTGATTCAGCCCCTGGGGCTGCCATCACCCTCACCTCGTCAGGAACCATGATCAGAGGGTACTTGTCCTCAGACAGGAAATTGAACAGGCACCAGAGGCGGAAGGCATCCTCATTGGAGAGCATGCTGTTCCCGTTGCTGTCCACCCGATAGTTCTTCTTGGCCGTCAGGGTCCAGCACAGCTCGTCAAAGTGCTCCTTAACGAAAGCCCCCTCCTCCACCTGCCACCAGGCCTGCAAGTCAGCCAAAACGGCCACCCCATCCTTGCTCTACCACCAAACAAGGCTCTAGGTGCTTTCTTGGGGTCACCTACTCCCCTGCTCCCCACCCTGCCAAGTTGGGGCTCTAACTTGAGTAATCCCTGAGCTGCTTACCAGGTAACTAGCTGATTCCAACCACCCACCCCCTCCCCCCTCCCCAGTCCCCTGCCAATAGAGAAACTAGTCCCTCAGCCCAAGGGAGAAAGAAGGGGAAGACAAGGGGGTGGGGAATGCACGACCACGAAGAACCTGAGAAGAGAGTGACAGCTGGGAGGAGCAGGGGGCACAGCACTGGGGGACACTGGAGAGCCCTCCAGCTAGCAATGGGAGATGAGCCTAGGCAGGGATGGGGTGGAGGGGTGGAGGCTAGGATAGAGGTGAGGGAGATGGAGGGGGGAGTTGGGGGGGCAAGGAGGGGACAAGTGGCTGGAATGTGAAGGACGGAGATGGGAGGGCAGGGATGGACAGCAGGGACAAAAGTGGGAGTTAAGAGGGTGGGAGGAGTTGGGGTGGCAATGTGTTGGGGCACTGGCCAGACTGCGAAGTGGGGAGAGGTGCCCCCTCGAGCAAGACCCCACCTTGTCCAGGATGTACTTGTTGAGGTAGGGCATGTATCCCTGGCTGGACACGGGGCCGTCGTCATCATCCCGGAAGTGCTCCTCCAGAGCCACAGGGTCGTGGGGGATGTGCAGGACCGTGTACAGGTTGTGGGACAGCACCTGAGACAGAGTGGCAGTTGGCCTTCCCATGCCCCAGCCAAACCTGGGCTAGAGGGCTGCTCCCACCTCCCGGCTTGTCCCCGTTCCCATCCTGGCTAAGTCCTCCGCACACATTATTCAATTCAATCATAACCAAAACATAGGCATTTGTATACAGTGGAATATTATTCAGCCATACAAAAGAAGGACATCTTGCCGTTTGTGACAACAGGGGTGGACCTTGAGGGCCTTATGCTAAGTGAAATAAGTCGGAGAAAAATATGTACCATATGATCTCACTTACACGTGCAATCTAAAAAACAAATTAACCCTCCACCCCCACCCCAAGCTCATAGACACAGAAAATGGATTGATGGTTGCCAGGGGCAAGGGGTAGGGGTGGGTGGAATGCGTGAAGGGAGGTCAAAAGGTACAGCTTTCGGTTATAAAATAAGTCATGAGGAGGTAACACACAACATGGAGACTATAGTTCATAATACCGAATGGCCTATCGGAAAGTTGCTAAGAGTAGATCTTAAAAAATTCTCATCCCAAGAAAAATGTTTTGTAACTATGTATGGGATAGATGTTAACTAGACATTGTGGTGATCATTTCACAATATTTACAAATACCACATCATTATGTTGGACACCTGAAACTAATATAGTGTTATATGACAATTATACCTCAGTAAAAACAAAAAAACCTAAAACCATACACCCTTACGATGCACCAAGCACTGAGCTAAGCACATTATATATAATTCACTTAACCCCACAACCACTGTTAATATCCCCATTTTACAGATGAGATAAAAGAGCTGGGATTCAAACCCAAGCAGCCATGTTCTCAGCCACTTCATTAGGTAGGGATGTCCTCTTTGTGCAGACAAGGACACTGAGGCTCAAGAGATTTGATAAATTGCCCAAGGATCCACAGTGAGCAAGAGTCCTGGATTCAAACCCAGCTCCACAGATCCCAAAGCCTAGGTGCTTTCTAGGATGCTGGGCTGTCAACAGGGAGGTGGCTGTCACCCCAGGGCAGGAGCCCCGAATTTCTCATCATTCCCATCAAAGACTCAGGGTTCAGGCTGCAGTGTATCTGCTCCAGGAAAGGCAAGTGCAGTTCCAGTCACTGCCCTTCAAAGATGGAAGGGAGCTGGAGAGGGCTCAGAGAAGGCTCACGAAAAATGGTCTGTGACATGTGGAGGAAAAGGCCTAGAACGGATGGTGGCCGGGATGGTGTGGAGGGGAAACACGAGTTGGTTAACAAACCCACAATATAAGAACAAAGATTGAAGTCTGAACAAGATCAGGAAAAAATAAAATTGCCTTGGGGGTACTTCTGTCATAGTACTTATCCCAGAGTGAATGATTAAACTACTCGTTACTGGGGCGCCTGGGTGGCTCAGTCGGTTGAGCATCCGACTCTTGATTTCTGCTCCGGTCCTGATCTCCGGTCGTGAGATCGAGCCCCGCATCGGGCTCTGCACTGAGCGGGCAGTCTGCTTGCGATTCTCTCTCTCCCTCTTCCTCTGCCCCCCACCTCCCCTCCCCGGCTCGCACACACACTCTCTCTCTCTAAAAAAAAAATAATAATAAAAAAATAAAAAATAGGGGTGCCTGGGTGGCTCAGTTGGTTAAGCCACTGCCTTCGGCTCAGGTGATCCTGGAGTCCCGGGATCGAGTCCCACATCGGGCTCCCTGCTGAGCAGGGAGTCTGCTTCTCCCTCTGACCCTCCCCCCTCTCATGCTCTCTCTCTCTCTTTCATTCTCTCTCTCAAATAAATAAATAAAAATAAAATAAAATAAAAATAAATTTAAAAAAGTAAAATAGTCATTATTGCACACCTACTATGTGGCAGCCACTGTATGAGGTGCGTTCTATACCCCATGTCTAACCACGCAACAACTGTGATACACAGACACTATCCCTGTTTTTCAGATGAAGATGCTGAGGCTTGGGGAAGTTCAGAGCAAACAGCCGAGCTGAGCTTGCAACCAGGTGTGCCTGGCCCTGAAGGCTGCCTCACTATTACAGTGCTGACCCTGAGACTCTCTGCAGGTAGATGGTGAACTCTGGGGACAACGTCTCTGTTCATCTCCATGTCCCACGGCACCTATGTCCTCTTCTGCACCCGAAAGGCAGTCAATGAAAGCTGTATGTACGGGCTGCTTCCACAGTTAAGCTTAGAGTCAGTTCCTGGGGCAGGAGCTGGTAACATCCCAGAGGTGGTACGGGAGCCAAATCTGCACTTCTTTATTCTCTGGTGAGAAGAGGTGGGACAAAGGATTGACACTTTTCCCCGGTATTCTCCTGAGCCTCAGGCTCCACTGAGGCCAAGTGGGAGGTTGGTAGGCCCAGCAAGAGGGTGCTTCTCTTTTCCGTCACTCCCCTCTGGGCAGCTATCTCTGACCGCCACCCCTACCCTCATCCCCACGCTCTTCAGATCATCTCCTGTGCCAGGTTTGGTTCTGCTTCTCTTGTTCTAGAGGACATCTTCAGTTTCTTCCTGACGAACTCGGCCCTCTCCACCCATATTTGGTAATGGAGCCTTGATTTTTCTTGGAGAAGCACCTCTCCCCCCATTCTCAGTATCTGTGGTACGGACTATTTGCACCCCTAACCCACCTGGCTGCAGGGGTGGGCACATCAGAGTCACGGTGATTGGCTCAAGGAAGGGCATATGACCAGTCCTGGGCCAATGAGAATCAGCCATATGATTTTTGCTTCCTCTGGTGAAAAGAGGTATACGCTTCCCATGAAATCGTTAAGCTGTTGGAACGGAGATAAACATCCTCACCCTCCGAGCCTCAGTTTCACTGTCAGCAAAACAGTGGGATAATACCTGTCCTGTGGAGAGGCTGTGAGGCTAGAGTGAGAGAGGACATATGGAGACAGCCAGAATTAGATCTGCACAGAGCAAATGTTAGATCCCTTCCTGTAGGCAAAGTGCGGTTTTTTACCTAACGAATTGACATAGATCAGAAGACTGATAACATCAGGTACTGAAGAGGTTGTGGAGAAATAGGGACTTGAAGGCCCTACTGTTGAGGCGTGAATTGGTAATCTTTCTGGAGGGCAAGAATGTATCAAACTTAAAATTGGGAATGATCCCAGCATTTTTTTTTTCAAGATTTATTTATTTGAGAGAGAGACAGTGTGTAAGCTGGGGGAGGGGCAGAGGGAGAGGGGAAGCGGACTCCCCGCTAAGCGCGGAGGGCTTGCTCTCCCAACCCGGAGATCATGACCTGAGCCAAACCAAGTTGGTCGCTGAACCAACTGCGTCTGCTCCACCCAGGCGCCCTGCCCCCCGCATTTCTAATCATCTAACCTGTAGATGCTCAAGGGAACAGAACTACATGTACAAGAATGTTCACTGAGGCATGTTTATAATATGAGGAACTAGAGACAGCTTGAGGCTCCTTCAGTAAGGGCCAGCTACATCGCGTCATGGATCTATGTGTGGTTGGAAAGATTTTATACATCTGCCACTTGTGTGCTTACGGGCAAGTGATTTTCTCTAAGACCTTGGTGTCCTCTGTGAAGATTATAAGGAGGCCTAGTTTGAAGGGTTTTTAGAATGAAGAGCTTAGCACAGCACCTGGTGCGTAGCTTATTGTTTAATAAAATTGTGTGCTATTTTTATTATGTTTTTACGAACAGACATGGGAAGATAGGCGGCATGCTATAGTGGCTGGTGAAAAAAGCAAGCTATAGAATGAAATGTTTGTAAAATAAATGTGTGCAAAGATTAGGTTGAACCATAGCACATTTCAATAGCTGTTTTAATAGATGGAAACAATAAAATGTCAGCAATTTCATACGGTTCAACCTAATATGTTTATGCATACATAGAAAAAATCTAGAAGACTCAGCAAACTGTTACCAGCTATCACCCCACCATCCTTCCCCAGGGAGGGGCGGAACTTTCACCATCTTTTTTTTTTTTTTTTTAAGATTTTTGTTTATTTATTGAGAGAGATAATGATAGAGAGAGAGCATGAGAGGGGGGAGAGTCAAAGGGAGAAGCAGACTCCCCGCTGAGCAGGGAGCCTGATGCGGAACTCGATCCCGGGACTCCAGGATCATGACCTGAGCCGAAGGCAGTCGCTTAAACAACTGAGCCACCCAGGCGCCCTCATCATCTTTAACATTACATTTGTCTTTGAATTTTTTTAACCAGTAACATGCTTTACTTATAGAATAAATTTCATCTTCTTTAAAATTATATTCTTCTGCACTCTGATTTTTTTTAAACAGGAGCATATATTGTTTTTATGACAAAAATTTAAAACTATAGAGAGAAAAAGCAAAGAGTGCCATTAACCACTGTTATTAATGTACCCTGTTATTAAGTTGCTCTATAATAACATTCCTTTGCTGTTCCCTTTTTGTGTGAGCATTTCTGGGTGCTCGACATTCCTTGAGGGCAGCAAGGACTCTATGTTCAGGCCTGATTCCAGATCTCAGTACGATGTCCTGCACACGATAAATGTTTTTGACCGATTCCTCAAGTCTAACTTAAACGCTCCAATGGTTTCCTGTTGTTCTCAGAGTAAAATCGCAAGTCCTTCCAGAGGCCTTGGGCCCCCTAGAACCCAGCCTGCTGCACCTTCTCTGGCTTCATCCCTCTTGGTCACTTCTCTGCAGCAACTCTGGCCCTCTTGACATTCCTCAGCCAGGCCAGGCACACACTTGCCTCAGGGCCTTTGCGCTTGCTATGCCTTCAGCCTGGAATATTTTTCTCCCAGGTCCAGGCATGGCACACACCCTCCTCTCCTTTCCGTCTTTTACTTAGATAGATGCCCCCTTCTCAAGGAGGACTTCTCTGGACCCCCTTATTTAAATCTATAACCCCATCCCCTCTACCGCCCCCACCAATCTCTATCCCTGTTTCTGCTTTATTTACTTCCATGTCATGTATCATTTTCCATCACATGATACATTTTTACTTATTTTGTTTTTCATCTGTATTCTCTGACTAGAATGTCAGCACCTCAAGGGTGGGGATTTTTGTCCCTTTTAGTCACCTCATTCACTGCTATATCACTGGGTCTGGCACATAAGGGACACGCAGTAAATATCCGTTGAATGAACTTAAATGCTTCACGGGAAGAAGTAGGAGAAATACAAAAGTCAGACAGACATGGACTGAATCTCTCTGAGCAAATTAACCTCACTGGGCCTCAGTTTCCATAGGTCTGAAAACGGGGTTCAAAGAGATGATGTACAAACCCCCTCACACCCCAGGATAGAAGAGACCACACAGCAGCACAGTTATTTGGAACTGTTCCTTGCCTTGGTTCGTTCATCCACACTGTCCTCTAAGACTTGCCTTCCTCACCTGTACCTTTTGCCAGTGGAATCTCAGGGGCCCGGGACAGAGGCTCCAGTCCCTGTGAGCCATCAGGTGTCAGGACATGAAGGAATTAAAGGCTCCAGACACCGGGGGCTCAGGGTCTCTCCCCAGAGAGCTCGGCAGACCTCAGACTGCCAGGCTTCCTGTGCCTGGGCTCGGGTTGGGGCTAGAGGTGGGGAGAAGGTGTGACCAGAGAAGGGTCACGCTGGAAAGGAAATGGCAGGGGTTGAGGCCAGAATGTGCAGGAGCCCAGGGGGCTGATTTCAATCAATCCTCAGCCCTGGAGGCAGGGACTCTCATTATCCTCCTTTTATAGATGAGGAAATCAAGGCGCAGAGAGGTAAAGTGTCTTCCTGCAAGTCTCCCTCTAAAGGCCTACTCTTGATCTCTCCACTACATTAGCTCTGGCTGAGCCTCAGAATCACCTGGGGCGCTGCAGAAACTGACCGGCGCTGGGGCCCCGCCCTCCTGACTGACTCAGAGTTTCCAGGGGTGGGTGGGGTCCAGGTGTCTGTAGTTTTCACAAGGCTGCCAGTGAGGTCCTTCAGAGAGGTCCTTCACAGTCTCACCGCCCAACCGGGCAGCCCCTGACCTTCGAGTTGGCAGCCATTGACCTTCGAGGCTTCATTGACGCACCGTTTCCTCTGAAGGCATTTGGGGAAGTGGTTCTCTTCGGGGGGCTTGTGAGTTCCCAGAAAACTCAGGTGTGGGGATGGGGCAGATGCTAGCCTGTGGTCCTGTGGTTCCCAGCCTTTACTGGACGCGTATATGACGGGTATGGGAACCCATGCACAGCACCGACTAATGGCTACAGACAGAATGAATAATCTCTCTCTCGCCTAGATGGCCTATAGTGTTGTTTTTTTTTTTTTAATGTATCTAGGTGCCAGGTGATTTTTTGTACAATATACAGATCCTTTTAAGAGTTACTGAATGTATTTTACTAAGGCATAACTACTATCACGAGGGAGGAGCACTGGAATTTTAAAAGGTGGGAATCTCTGGATGAGCTGTGTGCCTGCTAACAGCAAGAAAGGGCTAGAAGGGGTTGGGGGGTGCCTAGGTGGCTCAGTCAGTTAAGCAGCTGCCTTCAGGTCCTGGGATTCAGCCCCGCATCTGCATCCTGGCTCCCTGCTCAGCAGGGAGTCTGCTTCTCTTTCTGCCCCTCCCCACCTTTCCTGCTCTCTCTTACATAAATAATAAAATCTTAAAAAAAAAGAAAAAGAAAAAGAAAGGGCTAGAAGGGGTTGAGGGTGGGCACCAAAGGAAAGACAGGCTTGGAAAAGGGAAAGGGGAGGCTGCATCAAGGGTCAATTTCATCTACTTGATATACTTTGTTAAAATTTCTTTTAGTAGGCTAGCTGGTGATCCCCAGTTCAACCCTCTGCCTTTACAGATGAGAAACTAGAGGTTCAGAGACAGCGATCACTTGCCCAAGGTCATCTAGCTGGGGAGCAGGCCTATGTGGCTCTGAGTCAAGCACCCTGCACATCACTAAATCATCCCGTCACTCCCTGCCATCCTAGCCCGAGACCAGTGGCAGGTAGGGGTCAGAACAAAGTTGAAGATCGTGGGCTCCTGGGTGGCTCAGGTCATGATCCTGGGGTCCTGGGATTGAGCCCCGCATTGGGCTCTCTGCTCAGTGGGGAGCCTGCTTCTCCCTCTCCCTCTGCCTGCCGCTCTGCCTACTTATGATGCCTCTCTCTCTCTCTCTCAAATAAATAAATAAAATCCAAAAAAAAAAAAGATAGTTAAAAAAAAAAAAAAAGCTGAAGTCCCCAGCCAGCAGATTCCTGGACTGGAGTTGCTCTTAACTTTCCCTCCACCAAAGTGAAGGTTGTCGTCCCCCTCCCTCCCTGCCCACCCTGGCTCCTGCCAACCAAGGGTAAGGGGCAGGCCTGCTGCCTCCTAAGAGCTCACTGAGCCAGAGACACACTGCTCCATCCATATCCCCAATCGCAGGGCCATTACCCCAATTCTCAGCTGATTCCCCCCTAGGCCTGGAACCAAGGCTGCTCCCCAGAGAAGAGGATGTGGCCATTAGGAAACCCATGATTGCCAAGGCTCTCTTCCTTGCAGCCCTCTGGCAGGACCACTACTGCCTCCCAAAGGTCTTTAGAGAAGGAGGTTCTGGGGACCCTGGGAAAACTCACAGTCCTCAACCCCTGGGAAATTTTGTGCTCCACCTAAATCCATCCTGGGCAGAAGTGCCATGCCTATTGGTCTAATTGTACTTTTCTCAGCTCACCTGGACAAAGGCCATGGTACCTTCTACAAGAATTCAAACAGAGGAAAACCCATCCGCTCCGTCGCCCAAGGCTTCTCTTCTCCAGAGAGAAAATCACGACGCCTTGGGCTACTCCTCAGACGCCTCACTGCTCTTCCTCCTCCCTCATCACGGCTTTGCCCATGAGAGCCAGTGGCAGCCCAAAGCATCAGGGAAGCGGGGACTGTCACAGACAGACATCGCTTGCTAGGCGGGTGCACGTCTCCCTGCCTGGTCCCAATCCAGGGCCCTGAGGCCAGGGACAGTGTTAGTGAGGACAGACTAACCCCAGGGTCTTTTCCCTTCTCCCATGAGTCTTTTCAGGGGTGGGGTTGGCCCCCACCGCTATCTCTCTCATCTGCTTCTTCCTCTGACTTCTGACCACTTCTCTTTTGCTCCTTTGGCTTTCCGGCATCCCTGCCCCCAACACTATCACTACTTCCTCCTATTCCAGTATCTCCCACTATGGTCTCAGGGAAGAACTGCCTTGCCTATCCTTCTCTTGTGTGACATGGGCCCTACTGCGTCTCTGCCTCACCGACCACCCAGCCCAAGACTCCCGTTGCTTAGCACAGATTTCCAGAGTGGACACGTTTTCTGTTGAGTGGGGGAGAAAGCTCCCTGCTCCTGTGTGACCAAAGGCTGCTGGCTGTGGGCTCAATTTGAGCTGTGATGCGGTACAGATGGTGGACAGTTCAAGTACGTAAGCTCCTAATAGAATCTTCCCTGCAAATACTCGACCTGTGGGGGTGGGGAGTGGGCATCGATCCAGCTGGAGGCCGAGAAAAGAGGGTCAAGGTAGGAAGCCTTACTGGCTGATGGCACCAGGAAAAGGGGAACCACTTTCCACATGTGAGAGGTGGGCATAGAGAGCCTGGAGAGGTTATAGGGGCTGCAGGTAATGGAGACAGAAAATGGTACCTTGGAGATAAACTATGGAGGTTGGGATTGTTCCTACAAGACACGAAAGGCAGTGGGAGGTGGATGTAGGGCACGGGTTTCTGCAGGGATGGATTTTGGATGATCTGCTATTCTCCTGTCTATCCTGAAGCCCCCACTAGATGACATGATCTGCAATAAAAGGACTTACGGAGAATGTAAGGAAGAACCTGCCTCTTGAGGAATCCTCCCTGATGATCAAAGGTAGTAGCGGACTATTTTTCCTGGGGGAGTCAAGAATCATTTTTTGGATGCTCATAAGTCTGGCTAAGGGATAGATTATGGGATAGGACCAGTTTGGGATATCCAAGTTTATTGTGTCCTAGTTCAGCAAAGGAGGGGGCTGGAATGGGGGTGGTGCATAATGCCTATCCTGCCTTATTCATCTCGCCCACGTTTGCAGGCACCTCCTACCTTGGTCATTAAAAATGGAGGTTTCCTTGAGGCTGCAGGCCTCCTCTGGGGATGCCCAGAAGAGACACCAGAAATCTAGAGCCTAGCATCATGCCAGGCACATGGTCACTCAGTTAACATGTGAACGGAATGAATGATCCCCTTAGGCAGGTCACCGAGAGCTGAGGCTTACCCTGCTCCTGTCTCCCAGTGTTCCCTGGTTCCAGTGGCCTGGGGCCTTGCTTCTTCCCCACTAACCAGGGTGGAGAAGGCAGCACTAAGCCAGGACTGGAGGGAAGGAAGGAGAGAAACTTGCTGGTCTCCCAGGAATTGTTTAGGTTCAAGTACTGAACTGTAAGGCAATCACTGATGGGGCTCTTCCTGGGCTCACATTCGAGCCCTTCCCTGTCTGAGGTCCCAAGGCCAAAGGGAGCAGTTTCCCAACCTGGCGTGTGGGAGGAGGGGGCGGTGAGCTGGGCGGCCCGGGGCAGAACAGGGTCTCGGTCCTTGCCCCTTCCCAGCACTGTTGCATCTGGGAGACAGGGTTCAGAGGAGCTGTTCTCTGCCAAAGGTGACCCAGTCAGCCTGGTCTGGAACTGGGACAGGCTCTTTAAGCCTCTCTCTCAGCTCCGGGAGGAAGTGACTGACAAGTACTAACTAACTGTCTCTCTTCAAAGCCAGGAGGAAGCAGCAGGAAGGAGTAGGGTGCGTACCTAGGCTTCACTCTGGGGAGACGTGTGCTCATCACACGGAGTATAGGATGTAGCCTGGCCTGTTGGCCTTCAAAACCTAATGATGCCAACTCCACCCTCCAGAGAGTCCGGGGAGCAGGTCTCTGGGCAGAGGCTCCGCGTCTACCTCCGGGGGGCCCCAGAACACGGGCAGCAGCATTCACTGGGCTGCGTCGTCCCGGTTACCCAGTCCCGGCTCCCCTCCCCAGGCCTGGGCCTCTGGATGGCTGAGTGCCATCAGCACAGCGTTCCTGCCTGGCTCCTGGGCGGCAGGGGCTGAGGAGGCACGTCTGCCGGCCTCCCCTGGGCCCCGGGGGCTCCTCACCTTGAGCTGGGACTTGGAGACCTTGCCGCTCTTCTCCACGTCCAGGGCGGTGAACGCGTACCAGATGGACTTGAGCAGCTCCTTGCGCAGGGCCATGGCTGAGGTGCCCGCCCGGCCCGGGGGCGGCTCTGACACCGAGATCCGGTTTCAGGAAATGCAAACGGCTGCAGAGACCGCAGAGGGGCCATGGCGCAGAGCAAGAGCTCCACCTGCCTGCTTGCACGGGCTCCCTGTGCTGCCAGGAACAGGCCTGTTGCCCTTGCAGTGCTCATGGCCTCACTCTCTGCGTGGGACCTCGGAACCCAGCCCCGGAGAGCCAGAGCCCTGCTTCGTTCAGTGTGGCTCCCGAGCGTGCGGCCCTGGAGAAGTCTCCTCAGCCCCAGAAACTTCTGGGGCTTCCTGGGCTCCCAGAGGCAGCTTGTTGAGGGGAGAGGAAAAAAAAAAAAAAAGCAAGCCCACCCTGGCTTTCAGAGGGTGCAGGTAGAGGGTATCCTGTCTCACTTCCACACTTACCAGGCAGGAGGCCTTGGATGAGTTACTACTAACCTCCTTGAGCCGTTCCCTCATGGGAGAGCAGGAAAAATACCCACCTCACACAGTCCTAAGGTCTGGGGATGGATGTGAAGCAGAGCAGGCACTGGATAAAGCATTTCTTTTAGGGCCATCTAACATCACTGTGGTGGTGGGGCTCCTCCCAAGCGGAAGAAAACAAAGGCGACGACACAAAGTTGGCGGAGGAACTGGGCCAGGGCACCTCTCCAGGTCAGGCGGGCTTGGCACGTGATTGGTTGCCTCCCCATCCTCTGGGCTTTGGCTCGAAAAGGCCTCAGCTCAGAGCATTGCCCACTCTGGGGCCCACTGGCCCTGAGGATGCAAGCCTGTTTCTGAATCGCACGGTGGGGGGAGAGGCGTAAAACGGGGGGGGGGGCAGCTCCCGGGGTGCTGACAGCAGGAGGCTTGGCACTCAGGGCCCCCCACGGCATGATCCCTTTCTTCAGATCCACTGCCTGTGAGGGCTGGGACACGCTCCCGCCCAGAACAGTGGTCATGGATGTTGGAAGAAGCCTGCTTGGGTAACCGAGCCACCCCCTCCCTGGGGGCATGCCCCAGCCCCCTCTGCTTCCACAGAGCTGCTGGCATAAGTACATAGAAGAGGAGAGGGTACCTGGGCTGGGGGGGAGGGTTCCATTCCCAGGTGGCAGGAAGGGACTGGGGCACATCCATCATCGTGGGGAGAGCAAGAGGCCCCTCCAATCCCAGCAACGCTCCCATGACGGAGGAGGCAAACTCAAAGAGTTCTTCCCATCAGGTCCCCTCCCCTGCATCCCTCCCTTCCCACCAGGGCTGGTCTGGTCCTCCCACACACTTTCCACTAGGGTCCAATGGTGGCTTTGGGATTCCACAGCATGGTCCCTGACACCTCCCTGTGGGCATCTCCAGAGCTGGGACTTTAGCACCAGAGTCATCAGAGACCCTTGCTAACCTTGGCAAGGCACCTCCTACCCCCACTCCTCGGTGGGGCTCTGCCCACTTGGAGCAGCTGACCATGCGCAGAGTGTATGTGGGAGGGGGCTGGGTGTGGAAGGGCTCTATATCACACGAGGTAAGGTAGGAAAAAACACAATTCCTCTAGTCCAAACATCCTGATGCCTGAGATCCAACCAGAGCCTGGAAGCAGGGGCCACCCTGGAGCCCACCTGCTCAGGTGTGGGCAGGAAGTCACTGGTGGCTCCTCGGGGCTTTTCTTACTCCTGGGCTTCCTCCTCCCCCCCGCCCCGCACCCCCCGTGCCTCTGGTAGGCCAGTCCCACCAGTCTGTCACTGAGGCTCGGTGGGGTTGTGCCAGGGATATGGGGCTAAGAGCCTGATTCGACCAGCCCTGGTATCCTGGGCCCAAAGCCGAAAGGAGGGAGGGAGGGAGGGACCCAGGTGGAAACTTGGAACTTTTATTAAATACTCATTCACCCATTTGCCACCACCAACCAGAGCAAGAAAAAAAATTATCAAAATGGAATTTAAAAAAACAAACAAAAACAAATTAAACCCAGTCCCCAGTATGTACAAGGCCACTCACTGCTTCTCTGCCACAGAGAGGAGAGGGGGAGGCTGGGGGTGGGTGGGGCTGGGCACCTTTTCTCCAGCCACAGGCCCCTGAGCGGTTCTGACCATGGTGGCAGGAAACCCTGCTGCCAAGTGGCCAGGCACCATGGCAGGCTTCCAGGGAGGTGGTTATTGCTGGGAGGAGCAGGGCTGGATCTGCCCTGCTCCTACTGGGCTGAAGAGCGGTCGGCCCCTTCCACTGGTGGGCAGTGACCAGTCAGAACAGAGGACCAGTCCTCCCACAGCAGTCCCAATCGCCATCTGAGAGGGGGAGTGGACTGAAGGTAGGAAGCGTGTTCTCTGGAGGGAGGAGAGTGGGCACCCAGCTGATTCTGAGGAGGGGACGCCCCAGTACAGCCTGGTGATCAGCTTGTCCTCTTTAGCTCCTGAGGATGGCACACTCCTCCGAGTCCAGCTGTGCAGCCCTCCTCTGGGGCAGGGCCCCCGTCGTCCCCTTCAGTTAGGCTGTTTTCCTGCCACCGTCTCTCCCTGGAGACCTCTGTGGCCACCTGCCAAGTGTCAGCCACAGCCCCGGCCCTTGGAGGCAGGGACGCCTGTGTGGCATGGCACCTCCTCCAATGTGGTGTGGAATCCAGCCCCCTGGGACTCAGCAGCCATTCTCTGCCTCTGTGGCCTCCAGGGTCACAGCCCCTTGCTGCATGGCAGCGGTGGCCACGCTGATGGCCTCCTCTAAGGTCTGCTGTTCCTCCAGCTGCGGAGAAGGGGGCAGAGAAGCAAGGAGAGAGTGAGACACTCCCCACCAGATTCTAGTGCTAGCGAGTATGTGGCCTACTGTTCTGAATCCCCTCCATTCGCCCAGTGCCACATACTGAGCACTTAGCGGGGCCCCCACGAACGGCAGCTTCGCTGATAGAGTCCCAGTAAGCTAGCCGTGGCCAGGGAGCCCCAGAATGGTCCAGGGTCAGGGAGAGGGGCTTGTTCACAGAAGGGGAGGACCGGCTGGAGGGGACCTCAGTAATCATCTACTTGAGCCCACTTATTCTCCTGATGAAGAAAAGGAGATACAAAGAGACAAAGGGTTTAGACCACCAGATATGTTGCCATCGAAATTATTCTGAAGGCCGGAAGGGGCTTCAGCACTCTGCTTCCGTCAAGAAAGCGCCTGAGACAGCTGTGTGGATATAGGTGAAATGAGCTCTTTTTCGGGCTGAGTGGCCTTCTTTTCAAGATCTCCGTCTCCTTCCTCTCCCCTCCTTATTCCTTCCTTTTTCAGGCTCGGGGACCTCCACCCACCTGCACGGCAATGTGTGTTCCGTTGGCTGTGGCTAACAGTGCCACCTGTTGGTGATGAAGGGATGCTACACTTGAGTCGTCGGCCACCACAGCCCCAGAGGTAATGATTGTAACCTGAAATATAAAAGAATGAGACCTTCCAACCCACCTACGTGACTCTCCCTCCCGCCGAGCCAAATAAAAATCCCTTCAAGCAAGGTGTCTGGGAACAAGCCATAAGGGGATGGATAACACCATTATAGGTCAGACTAATTAGCATGGGGCTCGGAGCTTGGTGAGGTGGCATTTTTCTAAGAGCCAACTTAATTTAGGGATTTGGATTCACAGAGGTCAGAACTGTAAAAGGCCCAGAGGTAATTTAATCCCATTTGAAAATGGACTGAAGTCCGTGGAAAACTGACCTGCCTGTGGCAGCAAAGCAAGTTAGAGGTAGATCAAGATTTAGACACTGTCTCTTGACCCCCAGTGAAACGCTTTTCCAGAGAATGGCTGATGGAGCAGAGGAGCCATGGGGAAGACAGCCCCTTTGTTTGTGGGGGGAATCTTGGTCCCTGTAAGAAGGCTGGACGAGGTCAGCCTGCATGTTGATGCCCACCCCACAAAAAGGAAGGACAAGAGAACAAGAAACCCCAAGCAAACCGCCTGGTCATACGGGCTGCGTCTGGGTGCCATCAGCGCTGACCATGGTGACCGTATGTGTGCCAGATGTGGCCAGGTCATCGTCCTCACTGGGTATGGTGAGGGTGGTGCTGCTGTGCTGGGTCACCATGCTGATAGCACTCCCCAGGGCCTGCAGGTCTTCCGCGGACAGGCTAACCTGCCAACAGGAAGGAAGATGAGCTGGGAGCGCACTGGCAGGTTGTCTGAAAGCCCCTGGGTGGAGGTACCTGTGCTTGCAGACAAGGTTAGCTTCTGGAGAAGCTAGATTTGCTTCATGTCACAGAGGGGGAGGGGGACAGGGACAAGCAAGGAAAACGGGTCTTTGTTTGCCCAAAGGAAACACTAGAAGAATTCCGCTGATCACTCCTATTTACCATCACTTTGCCTCGGGGCTCTGTTCCATGCAGTTCGGGGTCTCGACCCAATTTCATCCTCATGTCAACTCCAAAAGACAGAGGTGCACTCGACAGTGGGTGCTGACAAGGGTCTTATCATACTGCTAGCTAGAAACCCTGGGCCTCCAGACCCCCACCATGCTCTGGCCCCCACAACATGCCTCTCTTGAGGACAGCCGAATGTCTCACTCATCCGATAGGACTGTCAGCCTCCATGTAAAGAGGGAAGCTACTAACTGTGCTCTAGAAGTTCCAGAGGCTGAGGTGGAAGCACGAGGAGGAGGGGCTGGCTGACAGGACTCGGGACCCTCAGCCTCAGCTGTCTGAGCTCCATGAGGCTAAAAGGAGAACCTGGGTAGGGGGTGGGGCTATCAGAACTTTGGGACTCCCCAGAGAGAGTGAGAGAGGGGACCAGCCACAGCAGCCCACCCGCTGCCCCCCCGCCCCGGGGGGCCTGTACCTGCTGGGCGCCGTCCTGAGTGATCAGAGCCACACGGGGCGCCCCGTCCTCCTCGGTCACCATGGTCACTTGGGCTGGGATGTCATCGCCCTCTTCCTTCACCTCGGAGAGGTAGGCAACACGGGGGCGTTTGGGCGGCGGGCTCTCCCCGGTGGCGCAGGCAGCTGGGAGAGGAGAGCCCGAGCTGACACCTGCCACCGGCGGGCCACGGGGAGGCCTGGCCCGGCCCCGCTCTCACCTCCTGCCCGTAGCCCTCACCGTCGAGCTGCTGCTGCTCGTACAGGGCCTGCTCGCTCTCCTCCGTGGCCTCCAGCTCGCCGTGGGCGCTGCGCTTGTGCATGGCCAGAGTGGAGGTCTGCCGGTAGGTCTTGCCGCATGCGCTGCAGGTGTACGGCTTGCAGTGCGTGTGCACCACGTGGTGCTTGTACAGGCTCGAGTACTCGGTGAAGCGCTTCCCGCAGCCTGGGACCGTGCAAACGTATGGCTTCTCCCCTGGGGACACTGGGCTGTGAGGGGGGCGGGAACTGGGGCTGGCAAGGGGAAAACTAAGGGGCCGGGGGCGGGAGACGGGGATTGGTGAAGGGAGACCCGGGGGATGGGGGGGGGAGGGAGAGGGACGGAGACCTGGGACTCTCAACAGACACAGCTGGGGGTGACAGCCAACAGAACAGAGGGGACAGGAGTGTGGGACAGCTGAGCCTGGAGGGAAGGCTGGGGCGAGTGAAGCGACTGGTTACGAGGACACGGGGGCGGGCTCGTAAAGGTGACTGTTGTGAACAGGAGAGGCAGGAGATAGAGATGACTGACATAGCAGGGGTGACGGGGGAGGGAAGGGACACATATGCCGAGAGAGGACACAGCAGGCTGGGTGAGGGATATGACACTGGGGAGGGCGAGGATACACAGGAGTCGTACGGGCTGCGGAGGAGGTGAGGAGCCAAGGGTGACATTTCACTCTGTTTTCCCCCCATCACGCCTGACCCTGGCCTTTTCCCGGGAGCCCGGCTGGAAGGGGAAAATTCAGGGTGGGTGTAAGGAGGTGGCAGGGAGCTTGAGAGGGCCAGCGGGACCTGTCGGACGGGACCTCACCGGCAAGGGAGGGACCGCTCGCTGCAAGTGAGACAGAGGCTCTGGCCGGAACCACAGAGCCCCCTCTCCCCGCCCACAGGCCAGCCTGCAATGGCCAGCAGAAGGGCTCGGGGCCGAGAACGTGTCTCAGGTCAGAAACCTAGGGTCGAGAGGGCCGGGGCCTCAGAAGGGGTGCTTCTCGCATGCCGGCTGGCCCACCTGTGTGGATGCGCACGTGATTCTTGTAGTTGGTGGCGCTGGTGAAGCCGCGGCCACAATGGGGCTCGGGGCAGGTGTAGGGCCGCTCGCCTGTGTGGGTGCGCACGTGTACCTTGCGGATATTAGATGTGGTGAAGGAGCGGCCGCAGCCCTCGAAGGGGCACCGGAACGGGCGTTCACCTGTGGAGATGGGGTGTGTGGGGTGGGCTGGTTCAGGAAAGGGGGGTCATGCCAGAGTAAGGAGCTCCAGGTCGCAGCATGAACGGGGGCAGGGCCCAGCCTACCGGTGTGGGTCCGGACGTGCTTCTGCAGGTCTCCTGAGGTCTTGAAGGCCTTGCTGCACAGCTCCTCTGGGCACTTATATGGCTTTTCACCGGTGTGGGTGCGCACATGGCTCTTCAGCCCGTATCCTGTCCGCAGGTGGGAGGGAGGGATGAGAAGAGCACTCCGAGGAATCTCATCCCCCACTGCCTCATTATCCTAATTCAGAGGCTCTCCATCTTCGGGTGGGCTCTGTGAGGCTCCACAGCTCCTCAGGCACAAGAAACCTGTGTCTGCCTTTATCCCTACCCAGCCCGGGCAGGTCAGAGGGGCTGGAAAAGCCCCCACTGCTCTCCTGCCCTCTCCAGGGGCGGCCGGTGCCATTCCAGAACACGAGTCTGAGAGCCATGGCTAGAGGTTTCCGAAGGGAAATGGAGCTGCGAGAGATGCAATGGCCCAAATACCCCACAGCTGATGCAGGAGGCAGGGCCTCTCTACCAAGCCCCCAGCTCCCTTTTCGAGTCTGGATTATGCTGCCCCCACTTCCGTAACAGGGTTTCCTCCAGAGATGGCGCCCTGCAAGTCAGAGCGCTCGGGCAGCAGTTTCTCTGGGAAGGCAGGAAATTCCCAAAGGGAATCTAGAACTCTCTGCCCTCAGTTGGAAGCAGTCCATCTTTAGTCTTCTAGGTAGGTTACCTGTAGCAAAGGCCTTTCCGCAGCTGGGGAAATCACACCTGTACGGACGGTCACCCGTATGAGCTCTTTCATGCACCTGTGAGGACAAGCAACCACGGGACTCAGAGGGACCGGGGTATGGAGGGCCTCTTCGGTCGTCTTTAGGGCTCAGAGTACCAGCACTGGCCACCTCCTTTATTCTGCCTCTTTAGCTGAGAAGCCACCTCCTCCAGAGGGCCCTCCCTGATTCTCTTCCTTCCTGCACTCTTCATGTGTGTCACAGGCCCCTGGGCTGACATTTTGGTACACTCATCTCTTCCTGTCAGTAGGGCAGGAACTGGTTCTAGTCAAAGCGGGAAGGTAGAATTACAGCCTGGTGGGGAAAACAGTAAGGCTGAAAGGTGCGCGTGACGACCTTACCTTTAAATGATGAGCAGTGGTGTAGAGACGCCCACAGCCTTTGTAGCCACAGCGGAATGCCCTGTCCCCAACCTGCTGTCCTTTGCCGTTATGGGGAGCCTGGCTGTCATGCAGGACCTGAGGAAAAAAAAATCTTGAGGTTCCTATCTGTATCCTCCTCAGTGACGAGAGAGAAGAGGTGGGATGTAGGCAGCTTAAGACCTAACACAGGGTTAAACCTGCCAGGGGGAGAAGGGCAACCGGGGGAGACAGACCGAGACAGACAGGAAACAGGCACTGAAGCACTCTGCAGGAGAAACAGGGCTGGCATGTGGAGTCCCCACCCACCTGTCATGGATAGAGGGAGGACTCAATGTCACAGGGGCTGTGACAGCTATGGAAGAAAGACCATCTCCCAGACAGCTAGGTAAGGCTGCTGAGAGCCAGCACCCCCACTTTTTTTTTAAACTTTAAAAAAATTGTTTATTTATGAGGCGGGGGGGGAGAGCATGCAAGGAGCGTGGTGGGGGGGGAGGGGAGAGGGAAGAGAGAATCTTAAGCAGACTCCGTGCTGAGCGTGGAGCCCAACATGGGGCTCCATCTCAGGACGCTGAGATCACGACCTGAGCCGAAACCAAGAGTCGGGCACTCAACCAACTGCGCCACCCAGGTACTCCTTAAGATTTTATTTTTAAGTAATCTCTACACCTAGTATGGGACGTGAACCCACAACCCCAAGATCAAGAGTCCCATGTTCCACTGACTGAGCCAGCCAAACCCCCCAGCAACCCCCACTTTTTTTTTTTTTTTTAAGATTTTTATTTATTTATTTGACAGACACAGCGAGAGAGGAAACACAAGCAGGGGGAGTGGGAGAGGGAGAAAAGCAGGCTTCTAGTCTGACCTTGAGTGAGTCATTCTGCTCCCAGGCCTTAGCTCGTGCCTCTGAGAGGATGAGACAGGACTAGATGACCTCAGAGGTCATTTCCAACCCTCGACTCCCCCGAGAGCCAGTGAGGCAGGGGAATGAAAGCCGAACACCTGAGTGGGTTAGCCCGCCAAGCAGGCCTGGCCAGGGAGCCCAATGTGGGGCTCGATCCCAGGATCCTGGGGCCATGACCTGAGCTGAAGGCAGACGCTTAACGACTGAGCCACCCAGGCGCCCCCACCAGCAACCCCCACTTTTGACCACACGCACCTAGGAGGCCACAGCTCTAGGCGCCGTTATCCTCTTATGGGAGGAGACCCCTCCCTCCTTGTGGGAAACCTATGCTTAGCAGGGGCAGTAACAAAGGGGCTTGCTGTGGGGATACGCTCACCTGGGTTTACCAGGGTGAGGTACAAGCAGCAAACCGCAGAAACACCCAGGGCAGGGGCCTGCAGGTGCTCACCAGAAGTTTCAGCTCTAACCACAGCACCCAGCTGACTGACCGGTCCGCCCCTACCCTGTCATCTCTCTTGGGAACATTGCTGGAGCCACCCGCTTCCCACCTGCCCCGGGCTTCAGGGAGCCCTTACTGCTTTTCCGCTTTCCTGAGCAGGGTCCTGTTGGGACTGTCCCTTAGTCTTTGTTTCTGGGACACTTTGGCCTTCCCAGAAGCTCCTGAGGGCGCCTGGGTGGCTCAGTTGGTTGAGCGACTGCCTTCAGCTCCGGTCATGATCCCAGGGTCCTGGGATCGAGTCCCACATTGGGCTCCCCTTGCTCTGCGGGGAGCCTGCTTCTCCCTCTGCCTCTGCCTGCCACTCCCCCTGCTTGTGCTCTCTCTGTCAAATAAATAAATAAAATCTTAAAAAAAAAAAAAGAAGCTCCTGAAACAGAAGTCTGGAAGGCACGGGGCGTAGGAGATGAATTGGTGAGACCAAATTCATGGCAAGGTCTGTCTAGTCAGCTCCAGTTCAGGGAGTCAAGCAGCTGACAAAATTCCACAGACACTTAAACAGCTGGTGAATGGCGGGGGAGTGTCATTAAGTGGCCAGGCCTGCTTGGCGGGCTAACCCACTCAGGTGTTCGGATTTCATTCCCCTGCCTCACTGGCTCTCGGGGGAATCGAGGGTTGGAAATGACCTCTGAGGTCATCTAGTCCTGTCTCATCCTCTCAGAGGCACGAGCTAACGCCTGGGAGCAGAATGACTCACTCAAGGTCAGACTAGGTGGTGGCAGAAGCAGCACGGACCTCAGGGCTCATGATCCAAAACCCAGTTGTCTTTCTAACAGCAGCAAGTCTCAAATATGGCTTCTAAAATACACCGCAGGGAATGGAGGGAGTGGGCAAAGTCCAAAGCAGTCTGCTATCAAGTTTTGTGCTTCATGTTGGAAAGACATGAGAGTTTCCTCTTCTTCTCCGATACTGCCACATAGTCTTATTATAAAAACAAGCCCCCCTCCCCAAATTTTGGGTAACATTAGTGCCCCAGGGAGCCCTGCCACGTCCACCCTGAGGCTCTGCAGTTCACCCCAGGGAGGGGGCCTCCCGGTATGGCATGCTCACAGATCTCGGGGCCCATGTCCCCCATGGGCGGGACCGCCACTCCGGCAGAGAGCATGCCACCTGACACGGGGGAGAGCCCCGATCTTCCTCTCTTGCAGCTGAGCTACTGTGCGGGCCCCATGTCCTGAGAAGCCCAGCTGCTCCGCTGCATCTGCCCTCGTCACTGCCTACTGAGGTTATTCCCCCAAATGACTATATTGAATTGCAGAGAAGAAATAAATACGAGACCGGCTGACCTTGGTGGCCCAGAAAACTAATAAAAGTCACTGGCAAGGGCTTTCTCGGACAGCACAGAGGATTATTATAACAACAGCTCAAGTGCAGCAGGCTCTAAGTCACCACGGTACAGATGTCACCGTTCTTTGAAGCTGCCTTCCCTTGGCCGAGACGGCAATAACTAGGGGGAGCGTCACCAGCTGTTGGTGGCCCCAGCCACGCTGTCAGGCATGCTGTGGACAGATGCGTCGGGGGAGCCGGGGTGGAGGGGCAAGATGGGGCGTAGCTCGGGCCAGCCCGAGCACAGGACGGCCCTTGTCCCCTAGAGTGGTGGTGGTCTGGGCCAAGGGAGCGGACGGCCGCGTCAGCGAGCTCACCTTGCTGGCATACTGCTCCAGGGCCACCACCGTGTCTGCGCTGAAGCCCTCGTCATCCTCCGCAGCCAGGTCCTCCAAGCCCACCTCTGTCTGCACGGCCAGGATGGCGCTGTCTGGCGGCACAGCCACGGGGTGGTGAATGTAGGCGGTGGAACCGTCTTCCAGCTGGACGGCTTCCAGGGCACTGGGGTCATAGCCCTCTGTGGGGAACACGCAGTTAGCCCCGAGGCCGCACGAGGGCAAGGGATGCGGCGGGGACCCTGGCTTTAAGGTAACGAGAGCTACATGTACCAGGGAAGGTTTCGGCATCTTCTGGTTCCTGCCCTTGGTGATTCACTCTGGCTGGCCCTTCTTGTGGGGCCAGCTCTCCCAAGGACAAGGTCTCCTAGGGAGCTCTGACTGGGAATTCACAAGGTCCCCGAGGAGCCGAGGGGACCATCATCATCTTGGCCTTAGATGACCACAAAGACCTCCTAACTGGTAGCCCTTTAATTCCCTCCAGGCTGCACAGCATCCAAAAGGATCTTTGCAGGACACCCGGGAGATCATGTGATCTGATGGTTCCACTGCTTCCCACTGGTCGCAGGATAAAGACCAACCACCAAACCTGGACACTCGAGCCCCGGTGCTCCGGCCCCTGCCTCTCTCTTACCTATCTTGTCTCCCCCGCCCCCATTCTGGCTCACAGCACTTCCCTGCAATATGCCACTCTTCCTCCTCCCATCTCTGAGCCTCACGTGCTGTTCCTGCTGTTCCCTGCCGTCCCTGTTCTTCCAGCTGAGTCTACCCTTCAGCTCTCAGCCTGAGCATCACTTCCAAGGAGAAGCCCTCCCTGGGCTGGATCTCCGCTCATGATGATGAGCTCATCGGCGACCGTTCACCTCGCTTCTGTCCCCCGCTGGCCTCTGGAAGAGCAGGGACCATGCCTGCCTCCGTCCCCGCTTGTACACTCCAAACCTAGTGCAACGCCTGGCATGCAGTAGCTGCGCAAGAAACTACTTGCAGAAGGGATAAACTGTTGTTCCTCAGTACTCAGACGTCCTCGGGTCCTATTTAAAGCCCTAAGACTTGGTAGCTGTGGTAGAGACAAAGCCGCCATCGAGGCCCGTGCTGTTGAGCTCAGGGGCTCAGTTTCCTGGAGGCAGGAATTGCCGCTCCGAAGGTGGGCACCGGGGAAGGGAGGCGAGCCTGCTAATCCAGGTGAGCTTGGGCGCTACAGCTCCCATGGCTATGCCCCAACCTCTGCCAGTTCTGCCTCCCTTCCGTCCCACCAGTCGTGAGGACCGTGACCCCACCTTTGGGTGTGCGGTGTATGTAGGCCATGCTGCCATCTTCCAGCTGTATAGGCTGTCCATCCTCAAAGGAGAGAGGCTCTGTAAGGAGAGCAATGCTTGCCTTCCTCTGGAGCTCGATGCCATCCCGCCCCTCCCTCGGTGGGAGCTGCCTGGCCTCCATGAGGCTGGGGTGTCTTGGGGTGCTCTCACCTTTCTGCACCATCACTTGGTGAATGTATGCGGTGGTCCCGTCCTCGAGCTGGATCACTTGCCCTTCAAGCAGCTTCTCTCCTGTGAAGGTGGAAATGGAGAGAAGCAGGGCAGGCCCGGAAGAGGGCCAAGGGACACCTGCCTCCTTCTCGAAGAGGCCTGTTTGAGGCACAGTTTGCATGTCTAAGCACAGGTGACATGCTCCATGTCCCCTGCTCCCTGCCTCTCTGGGCCTGGGCCTCAGTGCTACTGGGTGTGAAGACATCCCACCATGAGGAACCCGACAGCCCCCAACAGATTCCCTTCCTCTACTCAAGGAGGAGCAACTTCATTTATTATTCCATACATGCCCAGTAAAGTAGGGACTTCCAGCCTAACGGTAAGCTGCCTAGACTGATCTAAATAGAGAACAAAGAATGCCCTGAAACCTGGAAAGACCTCAGTGGGTCAAAAATCAGCACTCTAACTGAACTAACAAATCGAAATACATTCCTCGTCTCCCACTGTGCAGTACACCCAGAACCAGACCTTCTAAGGCAGAATAGTAGCTCAGTGGTTAAAAGCAAGTGGCTCTGGAACTGTCCAGGCATCCTGGGTTTGAATTCCAGCTCTACCTCTTACTAGCTGTGTGTTCTCAGTTTATTTAACCTCTCTGTGCCTCAGTTTCCTCCTCTTAAAAAGAGGATTAAAAACTGTGTCTTTGTCCCTGGGTTGCTGTGAAGGTTAAATGAATTAACGAATATAAAACAATGCCAGGAGTGTGGGTAGTCAGCCCTCAAAAAGCCTTAGCTTTTTTTTATTATTATTATTGTTATTTGGAGAGAGAGGGAGAGAGAGAAACTTTAGCAGACTTCTGCCTGAGCGACAAGCCCAAAGTGGGGCTTGATCCCACGACCCTGAAATGACGACCTGAGCCAAAACCAAGAGTCAGATGCCCAACCGACTGCGCCCCCCCAGGCGCCCCAAGTCTTAGCTTTTATCATAAGCCCGATCTGCATTTTAGAAGAGAAAACAAAGCAACAGGGAGCTAATGTGAACGCAACTGCTGCGCTATTGCGTGTCTTCTAGGCCTTGTTCCACTGCTGCTGTGGGGACTGTCTCCTTCATTCACCTCTGACATTTTCATTTCAATTTTCTAATTTAAAGATGACTCACCCAAGGCAACAAGCAAGCAGTATAAAACGTTACAAGACTCCAGAGTTCCTGAGATATTACCCTTCCTTTACCTCAGAGCCTTACTGGGAGGCACTTTTTTTTTTTTTTTAAAGATTTCATTTATTTATTTATCTTTAGAGATGGTGGCGGGGGAGGGGGCTTACTGGGAAGCACTTCTAAGAGCAACAGGCTCTTTGGTTTAGAATTAGGATTAGACAGGGACGCCTGGGTGGCTGAGTTGGTTAATCGTCTGCCTTCGGCTCAGGTCACGATCCTGGAGTCCTGAGATCGAGTCCCACATCGGGCTCCCTGCTCAGTGGGAAGCCTGTTTCTCCCTCTGCCACTCTCCCTGCTTGTGCTCTCTCTCTATGACAAATAAATAAATTAAAAAAAAAATCTTTGTAGAATTAGGATTCGACAGGCCTCTCCTCATGTCTAGTGAGTTTCCCAGGGGATGAGAGGGAACGAAGCGAGAAAAGAAAGGAGAGGGAAGAGCTCGTGACAAGTGGTTTGCTTACTCCTTTCTTCATGAGTTTCGGGTTTAGGAATTTGAACTCTTATGATGGGGGGAAAAGACCAGGCAGCTGCTTCCAGCCTAACTCTGCTATCTTCCCCTCAGAAGAATCCTCAAACTCGCCTCCACACCGAGTCTTCTCGGGTCAGGAGCCCACAGTTCGACAACCCAGCCGAAGCCAGGTGAGGTAGACAGAGGTAAGTAGGAGAAAGGCAGTCAGACGAGGGAGCGGGACCCCCTCACTGCCTCCCATCAGCAAGCCACGAGCTTCCCTGCATTTAACGCCTTATCTGCCGCGGCCAGGGCACCGCACTTGGGGTTCCAAGAGCAGGGGCAGACTTCTGCTAGCACAGCGGCTATTGCTTCGAGGCATGAGACCATAGGTTGAGAAGAGTTACTTGGGACAAGATTTCAACCTAGAATCACCTCGCACACCAGAGATGACAATGCGGAGGGCCAGGTGGGGATGTCAGTGGACTGACAAGGCCCTCATGTCCCATGATGGAGAGGTGGCCATATGTTCCCGTTTGCCCTGAAAGGTCCCAGTGCATTTTTATTCACAGCACATGCTTCCACTCTCAGAAGTGTTGGGCTTGAAGAACATGTTTTACGCTTACAATAGACAAAGCTCATAAACTGTTAGGGCTGCCTGCTGCCTAAGCTGGCCCCAGAGAGAGCTGGCCGCTGACAAGGACGAAAGTGCCCTGGTCAAGAGCTGCAGAGGAGCTCGCCAGGGGGAGTGTGGTCCTGATTCCCGAAGGCCGGCTTTCCCCTCAGGAGTGTGAAATCGGTTGTGCTTGAGTCTGTGTGTGCACACGCTGCAGCGCCGTGCAGGAGCCAGAGAACAGCAACGAGACAGAGACAGGAACGGGGAGGTGGGCGAGGCAAGGAGACCCACACATAAAAGGGGAAGACATAAGAAAAGAGGGTGGCTTTCTCAGGTCAAGCGTGGCCACTTGCTTTTTATTCACCCACTCGACCATTAATTCACAGCAGAAGACCGAGGCACGGGAAGTAACTGGGTCCAGGGAGCAGACACAGCCATTTTTCCAGGCTTCCTAAGTTCTTCCATCTCATTCTGCTGTGACTGCAGCAGAGGGGAAGACCTGTGATGGGGAGTCTGCCAACAGAGAGTTTCAGGCTTCAAAGGTATTCCAGAAAAGTTCCGCTCTCAAGCAGACGAAGCCAACCAGGCCCAGACATCATAGACAGCTCTTGACAAAAAACCTTTCCAGAAGGCAACCCTCCCCGCCAACACTGTCATATGGAAAGAGCTTACTGAGGAGATTAAGGGGCCTCTTTGTCGTCATCAGGAAGCAGACAATTTAAAATAAAATCAACAAACAATTTCTCTGGGGAACTGAAATACACTTTCACAATGTGTTGACAATGAAGGCGGGCAATGTTGCAATGATAGTGCATTCACGAGGATGGTGGAGCTCACAGAGTCCAGAAGAGGCAAAATAAAGAGCAGGGGCGAGGCGATGTTTGCCCAGTGCCGTCCAAGGAAGACAAGCAGGCCATCTGGCATGCTGAGAATGCTGGTGAGAAAGGAGGCTGTCACAGCGGTGAGTGTCCCTGGCCGGAAGGCCCTGTCCTTCAGTGACACTCAGTTCTGACTCCACACCCACCTTGATTTTAAGTTTCTTGAGAATGGAATTTCAGGTGATTCCAAATTTCAGTAAACAGCAAACTCTTTTTCAGGACTTGGTGCTACTTTTTTACTACTTCTATTTTATTTTCTTAAGATTTTATTTATTTATTTGAGAGAGAAAGAGAGAGAGCACATGAGCAGGGGCAGAGGGAAAGGGAGAAGCAAACTCCTCACTGAGCAGGGAGCCCAATGTGGGGCTTGATCCCAGGACACCCGGATCACGACCCGAGCCTAAGGCAGATGCTTAACTGACTGAGTCACCCAGGCGCCCCATTATTTTACTATTTTTAGTGTTTAATCCCATGTTTATACATATCTATCCCATGCGGTATTTGGGACATACTTTACTACAAAATTATTCACTGCCTATCTGCAATTCAATTTTTTTTTCCAATTCAAATTTAACTGTATACCCTGTATTTTTATTCCTGGCAACCTTAGTGGGGCCTAAGGCATGAGATCTATGCTTGGGTGTCCCCCTCTGTACATGGCTTAACTTACTTGAAAGTTTCTAGAGAGCCCTGAGAAACTGGACTTATTTGAATTATTTGAAAAGCAGGAAGACATATAACCAGCACAGTGTTCATTCATTTCCAGAAATATTTATGAACTACTTACCACATGTAAGGAATTCTGCCTTTCAGAGGTCTTGGTTCCTCCAGCTGGGCTAGTCTGATTTTCTAGGCTGGCCTGCCTCGATGGCATTTTCTTTTAAAGAGTTCCTGTTTTGTCAATGACCTCAAGAAATTCTCATGCCGAGTAAGTTGTGGCATGCAAGCAGGAGTGCACAGTGGTGGTGGTGGTGAGACTCTGAGAAGGGGACACTCCTCTCCAGAGGCTGGCGGACAGGGTGAGATTCTGGGGTACCTGGAAATACTCACCTTTGACAGCTTGCTGGACATAGGCTGTCGTCCCATCACTGAGGGTCACCGTTTGCAGCCCCAAGCTCTCCATGGCAAACTGCTACTCGTACACTCAGACATGAAGTTGGCTTCTGGCCAGCACCAAGAGCCACCGCTGAGGTCAGAGATTTCCTTCTGGGTCACAAGTCTGAGAAAATGGACAGTGTCACATTATGAGTTGCACAGCTTCCTCCTGCTACAAGGACACATAAGGAAAGAGTGAATGAGGCCAACTAAGAAGAAAAAGAGATGAATTCTTCCAAGTATAGAACTATGCTGGCTTTTGTGAAGGTTCACAATATAAATATTGAAGAATTCTAAAAGTTGAGCATACAACAGAGGCACGCCAGCCAAACGGGTTGTAAAGTAACATTCATTGATCAAAACCCACTTTTAAACTCGCTCTCCTGGGGCGCCTGGGTGTCTCAGTTGGTTAAGTGTCTGCCCTCGGCTCAGGTCATGATCCAGGGGTCCTGGGATCGAGCCCCGCACTGGGCTCCCTGCTCAGCGGGGAGCCTGCTTCTCCCTCTCCCTCCGCCCCTCCCCCTGCTCATGCTCGCTCTCTCTCTCTAATAAATAAATAAAATCCTTAAACTCACTGTCCTTAGAAGGAAGCCCCGTTAAAGGCAGGCTGCCAGCCCCAGTGCTGCTGGTTCTGGGGAGCACACATCACATCTCTACACATTCCAACAGCTCTCCTATGCTCGGATCTATCCATCCACTGGCCTTGTTGAGTATCGTCAGTGAACATCCCACAGGCATCACAAACAGAATGAGGCCCCAACAGAACTCATCATGTGCTCCCCAGAACTCTTCTCTTCCAGTATCCCCCATCCCTGGGCTAGCATTTCCAGCCACCCAGAATTGGTGGGGTCATCCTTGATTCCTTCTTTGTCCTCAAAAGTCTAGATACACCACTATCTGACACCATACACAAAAATTAACTCAAAAGGGATTAAAGACTTGAATGTAAGACCTGAAACCATAGAACTCCTAGAAGAAAATATAGGTGGTAAGCTCCCTGACATGGTCTTGGCTATAATTTTTTGGATTTGACACCCAAAGCAAAGGAAACAAAAGCGAAAATAAACAAGTGGGACTACATCAAACTAAAAATGTTCCTTCACGGCGAAGGAAACCAACAACAAAATGAAAAGGCAACCTACAGAAAGGGAGAAATATCTGCAAATCACATATCTGATAAGGGATTAATATCCAAAAGATACGAAGAGCTCATACAACTTAATAGCAAATACCTGAAACAGTTCAATTAAAAACCAGGCAGAGGATCTGAATCAACATTTTCCAAAGAAGACATCCAAATGGCCAACAGGTACATGAAAAGATGCTCAACATCCCTAATCATGAGAGAAATGCAAATCAAAGCCACAATGAGATATCACTTGTTAGAATGGCTAGTATCAGAAAGACGCAAAATAGCAACCGTTGGGGAGGATGTGGAGAAAAGGGAACCCTTGTGCACTGTTGGCGGGAATGGAAATTGGTGTAAATTGGAAAACAGTATGGAGGTTCCTCAAAAAATTAAAAATAAAACTACCATATATGATCCAGCAGTTCCACTTCTGGGTATTTGTCCAAAGAAAATAAAAACACTGACTTGAAAAAATATACACATTCAGCATTATTTACAACAGCCAAGAGATGGAAAACTTAAGTGTCCATGGATGGATGAATGGATAAAGAAACTGTGGTGCATATATACAACAGGATATTATTTCGCCATAAAAAAAAGGAAATCTTGCCATCTGTGACAACATGGATGGACATAGATGGTATTATGTTAAGTGAAATAAGTCAAAGACAAATACCATATGATCTCACCCATGAATGGCATATAAAAACACCCAAACTCATAGATACAGAGAACAGATTGGTGGTTGCCAGAGGCAGGGGTTAGGGGTAGGCAAAATGGATCAAGAGAGTCAAAAGGTACAAACTTGCAGTTATAAAATAAGTAAGTCATGGGGATGTAATGTACAGCATGGGGACTATAGTTAATAATACCGAACTGCATATTTGGCAGTTGCTAGGAGAATAAATCTGAAAAGTTCTCAACATAAGAAAACAATCTGTAATCATGTAGGGCGATGGATATTAACTAACTGTGGTGATCACTTTGAAATACATACAAACATTAAGTCATGATGCTGTATATCTAAAACTTAAATATAATATTGTACATCAATTATACCTCAACTAGAAACAATTTTTAAAAACTTAAGGAGTCTATGTACCTATTTCGGATATCACCTCTCACATCTTAACTACTGTAAGAGCCTACTAATGTATGTCCTCAAATAAGCTCTTGCCTGTTTCCTAGGCATTTTGTAGTATTGTGTCAGACTTTAAAAAAAAGTTCAGGGGCACATGAGTGGCTCAGTGAGTTAAGCATCTGCCTTCCACTCAGGTTGTGATCTTGGCGGGGGCGGGGGGGACGAGGTGGCTAGGATGGAACCCCATGTCAGGTTCCCTGCTCAGCAGGGAGTCTGCTTCTCCCTCTCCCCGGCCCCTCCCCCACTCATGCTCTGTCTCTCTCAAATAAATAGAATCTTTGGGGGAAAAAAAAAGTACAAACGTAAATCCACTACTTCCTTGATCAAAACGCTTCAAAAGCTTCCTATGGCCCTTGGACTCCACCTTGCAGGCAAGGCTGGGAGCTGTTATAAATCCCTGCAGCCCTTGGCTCTACCTCTTCCTAGCACTCACACACCTAGTCACCTACTTCAGTACTTATCACTGCCTCTTTCACATTTGTTGCCCACACAGGACTTTGGGCTCCAGCCTGGTTTCTGGTTCACTGTGGGCTCTCTGCAAATCCTTGTGGAGTGACTCACCGGGTCCTTGTGGGCAAGGAGGGAGGTGCTGGAGCATCCTGCTGGCAGACTTCCTTTGCATTGGTGATCAGCCTACGTGAGCCAGAGCCCGTAGCTGTGAAGCCTTGTTCTGGGTTTAGCAGTTAAGATTCTCACTGCCCATCCACAGAATTCCCCTGGACTTGGGACCTGGACTGCCTACTTGGTACTCACTATCTGCCAACTGATCTTCTCAATCAGTGCTGCCCAAACTGTTTTCATGTCGGGGCACCCAGAGAGAAGGATGTTTGTACGTAGCAGATGGCTTCTGCTTGAAGCCAGGAGCAACCAGCTGGGGCTCTGGCAGCCCCAAGGGCTGAACGGGTCAATATCTTTACATAACTCTAGGCCACTTGTGACACACTGGTTGGGATGTTCTACTTTAGACTTGGCATCCCCATTAGAATTATTCATTCATTCTGCCCATAACCATTTACTGAATGGGCTAAGCCACTACTAGCAGTTAATAGAGAACAGTGCTGTAAAGGAACAGTGTACTAGGCATTTTATACATAGTAACTCATTTAATCCTCACAATGATCCTATAATTAAATACTGTTATTATCCTCATTTTATAGTTGAGGGAATTGAAGCCCGAGACACTAAGTAACTTGGCTCAAGGCTGCACAGCTAGTAAGTGGGAGAGGAGGATTTTGAATCCAGGACATCTGGCTCCAGAGTATGCTCTTCAATACTTTATTATGCAGCCTAGTACAGAGGTTTTTAGCTAAAGCCACCTGAAAACACTATTTTGGTGTGCCAGCTTGTACATTTTTCTGAAAAGAAGGGAGTTCAAGATTGTCATGAGTGTCTCATAGGGGTTAAAGGTAAAGAAGCACTGGTCTAGATGGGAATTCTGGCACCTGACCCATCTTATCTGGTCTACTAGGATCCTGACAGTGACCCCAACCTCGCCCAGAGCCCTGATAACCACAAGCTCTGGTCCTGGCCTCTCTTGGTCTGCTCCCTGACCCTCGACTTTCAGAGTCTCAAGCAGGGAGAGAAATTCTTTTGGTAACCTGTTTTTGTTAACAGCATTGTCAGAATAAGGACACACGTGAGACCTAGGTCTGAAAACAAAGCAGATTATAGGTTGAAACAGGATTATAAAATGGCCTCAAATCTTTATGGCTGACTGCTGTGGCTGCTACAGCACTAGTTGGTTTAATTGAGCACACCTGTACTCTACTGGGACTTTCTGAGGAAAATCCGTGGCATGGTTAACAACGCAGGTTCTGGAGTCAGACAGCCCGGGCTCTAACCCAGGCTCTACCTCTTTGAAGCTGTGTACCCTTAGGCAAGTCACTGAACCTCTCTGAGCTTCAGATGCCACTTGTAAAACAAATGGGGCTAATAATAGCACCTTCGTCACAGGTTCCTGTAAGGATTAAATAAGGTCACATGTGTCAGCCTTTAGCACAGTGCTGGCACATAAGAAGTACCCTAGAAAAACCCTAAAAGTACCCTAGAAAAAGGGGTACTTCAGAGGAGGAGATGGAAGAGGAACAAAAAGGGAAGTGCTTTCGAAGCAACGGGCAATTTCCAAAAGGTAGCCAAACGCTGGCAACAGCCCTGGACTAGACATGTGCAGAAATGGCTTCTAATCTCAATTCTACCTCCTAGGACTGCCTCCTTAGCTGTAAAGTGAAGTGCTGCTCCAGATGACCCTAAAATCCTTCCCACTGCTCGTGCTAATTACATTTACCACATAGACAGCCTTAAACAATGCCAGCCACTGTTCAAAGCACTTTACCTATATTAACTCTTTTAATCTTAAAAGTAACGCTATGAAGAAACAGGTACATTATCCCCACTATATGGATGAGGTGACTGAGGCTTAGAGGTAGAGTAATTTATTCCAAGGTCCCACAGCTAGGAAATGCGGAAGCCAGGATTCCAAGCCAGGCTGGCTGGCCTAGGTCCATACCTCTCAATACCTCATGCATTTCTTCCTTCTGCTAATCCAGTGTGACACAAAACACTTGACTACTGATAACTTTCCTCTCACCCACAGTAACTTAAACCCAGTCCTCTTGGATCTGACCACAATGGAAAGAGGGACGAGCTGGTAGCCACATTTCAGAATATAACACTTAGACTCAAAGAAAACAAATCTCCACTCCTTCACATGTTCTCATGTCCAGGCTGAATATTCAATTTTCCTCCTTAAGCCCATAATATAGACCTTTAAAACAGTCCACTCTGGCTCTCCAGGCTTTCCTGATCTCTGCTGCTGCCTTCCAACAGGGCCTGACCGCGGG